CCCCAAAACCCCAAAACCCCAAAACCCCAAAACCCCAGAGTTTCGTGAAGAAATTGAAGATAGAATATTTGATTAATGGTTTTGGAGGAGTAAGGGTATTCTTGCTTCATCTTCTTCATCATGGCTTCTTGCTGGAGCTGGTTCATGTATAGGAGCTTCTTCAGATTCGTCATCTCTTTCTATCAAATTCAAGTCTTCTTCAATTCTTTCATTTCCTCCGACAGGAACTCCAAGTTGGACCTCATTGATTAAAACTGGATTCCAACCCTCTGGAGGTTGAATCATAGTATATTGATCTATTTCACGATCACGTATCTTAACTTCAAGAATACAGAAGGGAAGATGAGTAAAGGCACTATTGAAAACTGGTCTCACAAAAAGTAAATACTCTATATGGATCAACTCAGAATGAGTAGTTGGTTGTAAAGGTTGCAGTTGTCCTCCAGAATTGTTTTTAGCATCTTCTATTCCTTCCTTTTCTGGAAATCCTGATATCTGGCTAAGATCTATCTCTGCATGTCTAGAATATTCTCCAGTAGATTGTCCAGCTCCAATCCCTTCAAAAAGTTCAGAGTACTTAATAAACTCTGTATTATCTCTATAATCCGCTTTATCCTTTAAATGAAATCTTTGGCGGAGCTTTACTTCAACATTTGCCACCCTTTTCTGACTTTGAGAGTTATCAATACTCCACTTCACGACCAAAGTTTCGTCTGAATAATACCTAAAAAGGTGTAAAAATATCTTAAAAGTCACTTTGGCTCAAGCTTTTTGGATAACGAATTTTAGGACTGAAAGTTAGGAAATTTGGCTAGCGGGGTCTTGGAGAAAAGGGCTTTAGGGGCAGAGAGGGTAGAGTTTAGAGAGATGTGTTGAAGTATGAATTTACCAGTCTTTTTCAAGTTGAACACTGAATTTGATTGGGTTAGAGCTGCAAGATCACAAGCATCCAGGGATAGCTAAATTATTAATTACTTTGGTCAACTTTCCTGGAGTTCTGACTGAATATTCTCTTTAATTCCATATATTGGGTCTCTCATAAGTAATTCAGATTTAAAACTCATCTCTTTTATTTTATATTCTGGATTAGGTTCAAGTTTAGCCTTTATTGAATACAGAATAGTAGCATCAGGAAGTTTGCTGCTTATCCGAAAACAAGTAGCAGACAAATTTGGAGGAATTACAAGATTAAAAGGGAAAGAATATTGACCAGGATTTACTATGCCATTTCTAAATGTATGAATAGTGAAAAGTTGATGAATCAATTCATTCTTTTCTATATGCCTTCGGCTCGTCCTATTTCTTTTTTGGTTAACATTATCCTTACCATCTCCAATAAACTCTCTCAATACCCTCAATAATAATATCCAAAGAAGCACCAGGAAAGGGTTGAGTCAAATTCAAGTGTATAGTCCCGGTCATTTCCTTCCCTGAAGTGCAGTAAGGCCTGTCTAGTTGTAGATATATGTCTCCATGTTCAAATTTTGGAGTATTATTGATGTTCCCCATTTCTTCCTGAACTAATAATCACTATTCTTATGGAAATTTTGGGGTTTTGGGGTTTTGGGGTTTTGGGGG